CCCCCCCCCCCCCAGCTGAGAGCTCCCTGGCACAGGTATCTCCATCCCAAATTTGGAGTGTATCACTCTGGGCAGGTCTCTTACATCCTTTTAGCACATGTATATGTCTTCCTGAAAGAGTGCCATTTTGATCGTTTGGGGTTTCTTTTCATTTTTTAAAGGTTTTAATGTGTACAATTCTGTGGTTTCCAGTGTACTCACAAAGTTGTGCAACCATTGGCACAATCTAATTCCAGAACATTCCATCACTCCAAAAAGAAGCCCGGTGGCGCTAAGCAGTCAGCCCCAGTCCCTCTCTCCACGAATCCGCTTCCTGTCTCTGAGCATTTGCCTGGTCTGGGCATTTCACATAAATAGAACCACACACTGTGTGGCCTTTGGTGTCTGGCTTCTCTCAGTGAGCACCATGTGTGCAAGGCTCATCCATGTTGCGGTGTGTGTCATGTTTTGTAGGCTTTAAACATTTACATACATTTTCTTACATCACCCAAAGCCTTTTCCCATCAATGTCTGGATTCTGAGAGTCCTTCAAGGCGGGAGGCCCCTCATTACAGTGGGTACGGCTTTCCACCACTGTTTATTGAGCCAAATTTCCTGATGCCTAGTGTTGTGTTCCCAGGGGATTCTTACAGAGGCCTCCTGGCGCTGGAGCCTCCTTCATCTGTAACCTGGGGGTCCACTTATTCCCTTATCAAATATTGCCCGAGTGCCTGCTCCCTGTGTGCCTGGCACTGGGCCCCCTTGCACAGCAGGGGAACAAGAGACCAGAACCCCGGCCCTCCCGGAGCTGACCTTCCAGTTGGGAGGACAGGACGCAAGAAGGATAAGTCAAAATAATCTGGTTTGTCAAGTGATGCTCAGTGCTAGGGAGAAAACGAAAGCTGGGAAGAGAGATCGGAGGTAGTCAGAGGGGCAAGAGCTGAAGGAAGTGAGGGAAGGAACCACCTGGAGATCTGGGAGGAGAGGTCCCCGGCGGGCACAGGGCACAGCACAAGCAAAGGCCCTGGGGCAGGACTGTGCCTGGGAGTTGAGGAACAGCTGAAGCCCGTGAACGAGGCGGGGAGAGTGAGGACAGGGCTGGAATAGGGGCAGGTCGAGCAAGGCCATATGGGCTGAGGAACAAAGCCCACTTTTACCCTGAAGGAGGTGGGAGCTTGGAGGGTGGTGGGCAGAGGAAGGACGGGATGTGCCTCAGGTTGTACCAGGGGAACCTTACTTCCATCGCTTCGGGCTGTTGCAAGGATTAAGCGAGCGCGCTTGCAGAGTGAGCTCCTTGCTTGTGATCCCTGTTTCCCGCTCTACAACCCAGGCCCCCGCCGACCGCCCAGCCTCCCTGGGGAGCGCGCAGCTGGCCCTGGCAGGGCC